CTTCCTTCCTCCTTCCTTCCTTCTTCCTTCCTTCCTCCTCCTTCCTTCCCTCCTCCTTCCTTTCTTCCTCCTTCCTTCCCTCCTCCTTCCTTCCCTCCTCCTTCCTTCCTCCTTCCCTCCCTTCTTCTTTCCTCCCTCCCTCCTTCCCTCCCTCCCTCCTTTCTTCCTCTCATTTTGCTTTGTGTTTTCTGAGACAGGGTGTAGCACTGGTTTTTAAAACTCTGCTTTATTTGGTGCTTTTTAGTCCTTTACCTCCCTTCCAATCTCCAGCCCTAGGTAGGAGACAGGCTCGTGGGGAGAGGGGCCGCAGACCCCTTTACTTCTCCGGCTGTTTAGGGTCGAAGGGTCTTTGGGGATACGCCAGTCTCTGTCAGCAGCAAACCCAGCAGCTGTCTCCTCCACGCCGCTGTCCTGGGTTTCTCTCCGTCTGTCTGCTCCAAATCGCCACACCATCTGTCTCACTAGTCTCCAGACTGCTCCACGCCACCGCCACACGCCGTACGCCCTCTTTCTGGGCTCAGATTTATATCCTCAGAGCCCTAGACCACGCCCCTCTCCCTGTCGCCAGAGGCGGGCCGGTACCAGCTGGCGAAAGCCATGCCTGCACGAGACAACAGCTGGGGACAAACTAAAGCCCAACTAGAATCCCACACTGGATTAAAACAAAAACATATTTACATAACACAACTGCCATTCCAGCAGGGTCTCTCTGTGTAGCCCTGGCTGTCCTGGACTCACTCTGTAGACCAGGCTGGCCTCGAACTCACAGAGATCCCCCTGCCTCCGGAGTGCTGGGAGGGATTACAGGCCAGCACAACCTCACCTGGCTCGCTTCCAATTTCCTTAGCATCCAGGTGTGGGCACTGTGCCTGCTGGCACATACAGCTCACCAAGGACCAACAAGGGGCTGGGAAGATGCTCAGTGGCTAGAGCACTGGCTGCTCTTACAGAGGAGCAGGGTTCTGTGCCCCAGCACTCGGATGCTGGCTCATAACTGTCTGGAACTCCAGTGCCAGGGGATCCAACGCCCCTTCTGATCTCAGTGGGCTCTGGGCGTGCATGAGGTGCACAGACACGCTCTAGGCAAAATACCACCCACATGAAATAAATAAACCTTAGAGAGAAAGAGAGGAAGGAAGGAAGGAAGGGAAAGAAAGAAAGAAAGAAAGAAAGAAAGAAAGAAAGAAAGAAAGAAAGAAAGAGGAAGGAAGGAAGAAAGCCAGCGGTGGCACACACCTTTAGTCCCAGCACCAGGGAGGCAGAGTCAGGCATATCTCTGTGAGTTCGAGGCCAGCCTGGTCCACACCAAGAGTTCCAGGCTGATCAGGGCCACACAAGAACAGCCTATAAAAACAAAACACGAACTGGCCTCCAGGACCCACGTGGCGGAGGGACACAACCTCTGCAAATCTGTCCTCCAAGTTCCACAGGTGTCATAGTGCCCACACTCACAGACAAAAACCTGCAACACTGCAACTTCAAAACCGTTCAAAGCCTCTGGATGTGGGGGGAGGGGCAGGACTTCAGTCTAGCCTGGGCTTCACGGCCAGCAGTAAGGTTGCTTTGGGCTTCATGATACCCAGCCTCCTAAAATGGGGGTGGGAGACTCAAATGAGACATTTGAATGTCT